AGAATAATCAGGAATATGTCCTGTCCATAGCTCTTCTGGGGTTTTATCACCTAGAGCACTTGAGGGGGTCCTATTAAACATATATATGAAGCTGTCATTACAGCTTCACCCCATAACACCTTAGGGACACCTGAGCCTATCAACATGCACCTAATTTTATCTAGCAAGGTTTTATTCATCCTCTCAGCCACTCCATTCTACTGAGGCGTATAAGGTACTGTTTTATGCCTTTTAATACCAGATTCTTTGCACAACTGATCAAATTCAACATTGCAAAACTCAAGGCCATTATCCATCCTAAGAATCTTAATTTTCTTCCCAATCTCATTTTCAACCAGAATCTTCCAAGTTCTGAATTTCTCAAAGGTTTCTGATTTGTGTTTCAACAAATAAACCCAAACCTTCCTAGAATAGTCATCAATCAAGGACAAGAAATATCTATTTCCTCCTTGAGTGATGGTGGATGAAGGTCCCCACAAATCAGCGTGTATATACTCAAGGGTAGAGGTGGTTCTATGTTTTCCTGTGTTAAAATGCAGCCTATGCTGCTTTCCTAAAGTGCAGTTTTCACAAAAAGGCACCTTAGATATAGAGTCTTTCCCAAACACACCTTTCTTATAAAGGATGTGTAGGCCCTTTTCACCTGCATGGGCCAATCTCTTATGCCACTTTAACGTAGCATCAACTTCTACACTAGAAGACTCACCTATGTGATCAAACACTGTACTAGTTTTGGTCACATAAATCCTATTTCTTTTAACACCTTTAAAAATAACAAGTGATCCTTTTATCACTTTCAAGAAACCATCTCCTATTTTTCCTTGCAATCCCATATCATCTAGATTTCCCATGGAAATCAGATTCCTATTTAATTCAGGAACATACCTCACCCTTTCAAGAGTGTAAATATATCCATTATCGAATTTCAAAGTGACATTCCCAACTCCCTCAACTCTGCAGGCTACATTATTGCCCATAACCACTTCTCATCCATCAATTTTCTTAAAATTGTTTAAATATGCCTTCTTAAGGTCATATGGAAGGTACAACCAGAATCCAAGATCCATTCTTGGTTCTGATTCTCATCAACAACATTTGCAGAGCTAGGTAAATTTTCAGTCACAGCATATACATCAACTGTAGCAGAACCTTCAGATTCTACCACATTACCTTCATCAACACCCTTAAGTTTCTGTTCATTTTTCTTCTTATAACAATTTTTAATAAAATGTCCAGATTTCCCACACCTGTAACACTTTTTAGTCCTAATCCTTGACTTAGACCTGCCTCTACTTTTAAACTCCTGCCTCTACTTTTAAACTTTCTCCTACTGTTGTTTCCCTGATTATTATGGCTTTCCTGAATACCACTAGACCTACTTAAAGTCCTTCCTCTAGCAAACAAGTTTTCATGGCCACTATTACCTCTCTTAGACTTAAGTTCAAGTTCCTTACTCCTTAAAGAATCTATGACAATATCAGGTGTAAGAGTATCTCTACCATACTTAATGACGGCTTTAACCTCTTTGTAGGCTTCAGATATAGCATTAAGTAGTAGCACAACCTTATACTCATCAGAAACTTTCTCACCTGTATTAATAATGTCTTGAACTAACTTATTAAAAATGTCTAAACTGTCTTCTAAATCTCTAGTTGGATCTATCCTAAAACTGAAAAATTTCTCAAGTAGAAACAACTTATTAGGCAAAGACTTAGGTAGGTAAAGTTTCTCTAATTCATCCCATAGGGCCTTAGCAGTATCATATTTGCCTACTGTTCTTAAAACTTGATAAGACAAATGCAAAATAATGGAGGTATAAGTAAGTTCATCAGATTCTTCCTTTTGATCATCTGTCATGGTATCAAGAAATTCATCTGTTATTGCTTTAGAAACTTTTTGCTGAACTAAAACACCTCACATTTTTTGTTGCCAAATGGGAAAATCCCCTTTTCCGTCAAAAACACCAAGTTCAAAAGATTTTGTCATGTTTTATTGTGAAAAACTAACACACAGTATATTTTCACAAATTAAAACAGAACAGATGATCAACTTTTGAAAAAATCAGTTGAATTTGACCTTCGCAAAAAATTTATGTTTTAGGTCATACAAAAAAAAAATATGCAGTCAAATGAATGAGGCACAATTATTGTTAATCACAAATAATTTCAATCAATAACAGAATCAGTAAATATTCTAATGTAAACACCACAAGAACCAGAAAATACAACAATGCAGGTAAGAACCATATCTCAGCATTAAGAATCAATATCTGCAGGACCTAGGGTTGATCAAATTCACCAGGATTCCGTGAGAATCAAGTTCTCAGGTCAAGGCTCAANTTAAGTGTGTTTGCAGTCGTGTAGGGTTCAAGAAGTGCAAACCAAGGGTGGTTAAATAGTTAACCACCAGCTGAAATCAGGAACAGGTTATTGCAGCAAGGGATAAGTGCTCTGTAGGTCACCAAATTACAAGTCAAGCCCTTACAACTTCGAGTCCTTCCAATTAGTTTCGAAGTTAGGGTTCCAGCTCAAGAACGAACCCACAGGAACTCGTTTTCTTTTTTTAAGGTTCTTCCACAGATCAAGGCGAGGAGTCACAGAACTCCCTCGCATTTCACAGTCCAGTAATGAATCAGCTCCACAAACCACTAGGTTGACTCAAATTAAAACCTAGGGTTTCGCGATCTATAGTCGAACACCTGGAAATTAATCTTCCAATGTTCAAACCTTCGATCGAAGACTCAAGAACGAATATACAAAGTCTGATACCACTATTAATCCAAGATCTGAAAATTTATAGAACCAAATCATACACAGCAGATTTACAAGAAAAACCTAAGGCACTAGATCAAGGTTTAGATCTTTCATTTAGGCTCAGACCATATGCCCTTACAGACCATCACAGAGGCACCGAACTCAGAAACACGAGCCCTCACAACCCCAAACACAAAGTCGCTTCACTGGAACCGAAAATGGACATACCACTTCCAACAGTTTACTCACACAAAGGAGACTAACACAAGAACACAATTATCACAAAGATAATCAACAGAAAATCTCACACAGAGAAGAAGAAAGAGTCACAAAGACGAAGCCCTTGAAGGTTCTAGAAGACGCAGAGAAAACAGAGAATAGAAAATGACCATCCAGCTCCCAAACAAAGCATAAGAGTCGTATTTATAGTAAAACCCATCCACCGTTGATTGAGTGGGTTAATCCAACGGCCCAAGAGCGACTAGGGATATATGGGCTGAATATTGGGCTCGGTTTAAAGTAGGCCTTCTAGGTATATTAATAATGGACCATCTATTGATTCCATATTGGGCCTTTTTCATCACTTCCTATTAGTTCGACTGATCAAATGGCATCACAGCCCAACAACATCACTAGATTGCAGGAAGGGAGCTGCATTGTGGCAGAGATAATTTTTGATCTTTTTAGGCTACGATATACTCATTGAGATACTCAGAATTAGCAAAAACGAAGCAAAATTAATTGTAAAAGAGTGTGAGGAAGTATCTTCTGTAGGGGAACTGCTCCCCCGTATTAGATAGTTGTAAGTTTCTGACTTTTCCATTTCTTATGATAATTTCTACAGGTTGTGCTTAAAGAAGCAAAACAAACAAAAAATGGGATAGATGGGGATATGGAATTCCTGCAATCTGATGCTAAGGTTAAAAGAGTCCTTTCATGTATTTACAACTGCTTGTCTTTCTAACTGTTTTTAATGCTTCACTTTAGACTAACATAACTTGCAAAAGATGAGGGGTGATCAGTCTTGGCTAACTGAGTCTGAACTCTGAAGTTTAAGCTCGGCACAAGCACAATATGATGCAAAGGACTGATTTTACCCAACATGAAATGGGGTGCTGCTATTGTTCATGATAAGCATATTACGTTTAGTTGTAAAGATGTTGCTAATGTAATTTGGAGTTGCTTTAGTAACACATTGCAGGAAGTTGTCCTATAAAGGTGTTGGCTTGCAAGATAGAGGGGTAGCTGCTGGTCATGGTCATTGAAATTTAGATGTATTATGCTTGGATAGAGGAAATTTTTTCTTTACTTTCGGCGGGCATCTGACCTATGAGGATCAAGTAATTATTGAATTAAGGGTGCATTTCAATGTCTCTTCCTAAATCCCCAAACCTATATTAGTTGAAAGGGTGATTCCTTTTCCAAAAAGACTGGTTATTGTCTTCATTCCGCTTATTAGTTAGCCTAATATAGAAGTAAAATAATCATTTTTATTAAAGCTTTTTCGCATTGTGGTACACTTCTTTATAGATCTATTGACGTAATTGCTAATGTTAATATTCCTTTTGGTGGTATTGTGGAGAAAGTTTAGAGCACAGAGAGAAATAGTGGAACCGATTGGAAACAGTGCAGTGGAAGAATGAGCTTTTTTGTTCAAACTGCGCTGACACTTGTGTTGTTGAATTCATTTCATAATTAGGACTTCTATTCACATATGAATGCAGTGCGAAATGTAGCATTGGCTAACTTGTTTTCTTGTGCTTCTTGATCAATATGCTAGGGATTGTAATCCCTTTAGACCTCTCTGTTTTCTTTTAAGGTCTTATAAACCTAATGTATATATTGATTTATTATGGCCCATCAGGCAAGGCTTGAGCAGCTTTTATGCCTTCTTAAGATTAGCATCGAGTTTTTATCTATGTTTTGCATTGGAGATAATCACCTCCTCGGTTTATCAACTTACTGAAATGTCATGATGTGAAGAAGGTAACTGTAACTGTTGTCATTGCCAACAGAAGAGATCACATTCAATAAATGAAAGTCTGAAGATAGGATTATCCTCGTAATATCCGAAGGTAGGATTTTACTTGTAATATTATCATTATTGTGACCTCGCACCATCTTCGAATGACTATGTCATTTATACAATCAGTATTCTTCTCGATTTATCTGTACCGAATGTCATGACTATTTTGACCTGTTTGGTATGACGGACTAAATAATACTAGCAGTGTTAAGAAAGAAAAAGAAGCTCAAATTTTGTCAATTGTATTATCTTGTCAGGTCGAGTAATGTGTACCAAACATGCCCTTAGTATTTTTTGCAGATGATTGATTTAATTCCTGTGTCATGTTGGATACATGCACAGCATATTTATATGTTTCATGAATCTTCTATGTATCATGCTACTAGCTAAAGCTTGCTAACAGACTCTTTACCCCGAAACTGAAGATTGAGTTGATCCCGAGAAAGGATTTTGTAGAAGATATACATCTTGTGCTGTCAATGATCTTGAACCACTGGCTTCCCGGGTCGCAGGTACTGTTTCTATTCAAACATTTACAAGCATTCGTAACAACAACATTGTTTGAGTTAATGTCCAAACAGACACCACTGCCATCTGCTAGTTTAGAAGAGAGGTGCATTTTAGAATCTGAGATAGTTTCCCATTTTGAACTGGCGTAACTGCAGATTACACCAAGTTTTGCTGGTAGCGCCAATCCATCTGCTTGCAGACAGAAATATGTGCCCATAACTGTTAGTGTTTTCTGGGGCGTATATGTCCATGCTTCAGCCTCAGAGCATGGACCTAAAACCAAGTGTTCATAAATTGATTTCCTTTTAATACAGAGACCAGTCATTGGATGGAAAATTACTTTATGGGGATGAATTTCGTTGTAACCTGGCCCTGCATTTAACAAAAAACTACAAATTAGAATCATTTGTTAAATGGATATGTAGTGATTCAGTCCAAACTAGAGTTGTACCACTTGGATTTTAGGAATCATCTTAAAGTAGAAATGGAATTCTAGCCAAACCATAGGCAAAGACTCTTGGGAGCTCACATGATTTTAGGCAAATTTCATCTTTCTAGGGGTAAAGCATTCAATTTATTAATTATCCAAGTACAGGGTTTCATTTTCCTTAAATTTTGAAATTATTGCCTTGTGAGTTCTTTTAATTTTCTTAATTTCAAGATTTTGCTTCCAGAATAACTCATCAGACTACATCTGAATTTTTCAGATCAAGATTCACTGCCATATTTTGTGTAAATCGACCAATCTTGTTGTCTAGATTTCTGGTATTCTTATGAATCATCGATAAGTGGAGCAATATACCTCGAAAAGGAGATTGCAGAGAGGAAATTCTTTGCAGGAAGCTCGAGTTTCTAATATCACACCAATTCCAATCTAAAACCCCATAATATTCGTTCATTCCGACAACCCCTTCTCTCAAATAATAACTCCCAACAAGTGTCCACAATGCCCAATCTAAGTCATATTCAGCTGCCCATCCCATGAAGCAATTGAAATACCTATTGTCATTGACATTAGTGCCCCTCATATCCATTCCAAACTCACTCACAAACAAAGGGTATCCTTTGTCCAATACAAAACCTGCATTCCTCATTAGGTTACCCAAAACTTGCCCACAAACTTGGTTTGGATTGGATGTTTCCCATGCCTTTCCATCGGAGAAACCGTACCAATGCACCTCAAAAACTAGCTTGTTAGTGAAGGTTAGTTGTAGGGGCCTGTTGAGCGTAAAAGAGAGATCTTTATCGTAATTCAGTCCAGATAGTATGACGAGAACATTTGGATTTGCAGCATGCACTGCTTCAGCACCTTTTTGCATGTACCTACATCATTATAAATGAAAGTATAAGAATAGAAACATGCACACAAATACTCTTCAAGTTGCATTGGATGCTTGAATAAATTTTTTTGTTGGCATCGACCTTTCCCCATCTTCCCCCCTTGTGCACCCCCTCTCTCTCTCTCCCTCTGTTGCGTCCTCTTTCCCCTTCCCCTCTGCCTCTCCCTAGTGCCCCATCCCCAATCCCAACTGCTTTGTGCCTGAGTATCGTTCAGTTGTCCTAATACTTATGTATGTTTGGTAAAGCTTTTTCTACACTATAAGCCATGAGTCCTGTAGAATGTGTGGCTAAAAGTTACGAGTCCTACAAAATATGCAGATAAAAAAGATGTTTAAACCAGCTTACAAGCTTGAAAATACTTTACCAAGCATACACATTTGGTGACTCGGGGGACTCCGGAGCAGTATGGGAAAGGGAGCTCGTAGTGGTCTGGATGGACACAAAAGATTGGGGGGGGGGGGGGGGGGGGG